TTTCTTATTTTATTAAAAAAACAACTTGTGGATTAATTTCAAAATTTTATAGGTCTATACAATTGTAATCTATCATACTAAACATTAGGAGTTTTCAACAGATCATTTCTTTATATTTTTTTTTAATTATTCATCGCATTCTCGTAAAAAAGTATGACAAGTCTTCCACTGCATTTGAACTAGTTTGACAGAAAATTGAAAAACTCCTGCAAAAGTAACCTTTTTTTAGTCATTGTATCAACTTTTATTTTTGCATTTCTTTACTTCTTTGTTTATAAATAATACTTTAACACTTTTTTTTTAGGATATCAAATTATAAATATACAGTTATTTAATTCATAACCAAACGAAATGATTACAAAAAAAAAAATATGTAAGAAAATAAAAAATAACCCATCCTGATTTTTAAATTCTGAAACATCCTCTCACCCGTACCTTAACTACTTCTTGGCTAAGCTCTGGCACTGGAACAGCCTAAAAAGTATTGGATTACAATCTTAATTTAATTAAAAATTTAAATGATTAAAAAAATTTTGGTGAAATACTGTTCATACCAAAACTGCAGCAATACTGAAAAGAGCGAGAATAAAACTTTTTATTATCATGACGCAAGCTTTGCTTAAGTCAAGAAGAATTTCATGAAACTGATTCGTTTCAACTTTCTTCTCATTTATATAAAACTTTGGACTAACAATAAAAACATCATGTACATCTGTGTCAATAGCAGTTAACCTTGATTTCTATATACCAATGAATACGTGAAAACTTTTGATTGCGGGGAGCTAAAGAGGTCTTGATTCAGGAATATTTAAGTGAACTTACATAATTACATGTACAGAGCTTTGAAAGCATTTTTTGAACAGAAGAATTATTTAATATCAAATGCATCACAGATGCAGAAATTCCAGAAATAAATGACTCAGCAATAATCATTAATTTATCAAGTGTGTTAACTTGCTTACACTTCATTAACGCTTATAGATCCTATTTGTTCCACTCGATACTCTTCTCGTTGTTTTCAATATTTATAATCAGACGTATATTTTTGTTGATGAAAACAAGTTAAAATATTTTATTTGTTATAAATTTGAATCATTATTAATTAGACTTTTCCAAAGTTTTAAGATGACGATTTTTTGTAAAAACCCACAGCATGTATAGATACTTTTTGATTATAAAAACAAACAAGACATACAACTGAATTAAACCCTATACAAATAGATATCAATGGAATCATTGTGCTTAGTATAGGTGTTATCAAAACTTAAATATTGGTAGTAATTTAAAATATCTTTACAATGAATACCTTTTGTTATCAGTTATACGATTTCTAGCAATACATGTTGAAGTCTTTAAAAAATTGTAGATTATGACAACCTTAAATTTTGAAAAATGATTTGAAATATTTAACATTGTAAAGAATCAAATCCAAGCTTTAGGAGTAGCTGTTGCCTTGAGCTTGTTATGGTTTACAAGTGTCTTCAATAATATTCGTGATTTTTGCTTAAAAAACATCTCAAAAAGAATAGTGGCACCGAAATTATCAAAATAAATAATTTTGGAGGAACATAAATATTCTGTGAGTTGTAACTCACTTCCAAAAAGAACTATAATTGATTTGCATTTTGAATCGATTTCTGCGAGCTCCATGTGCCAGCTGTGAAAATAAGTTAAATATTTTTTAAGGTTTTCAAGAAACGGCATGATGGCGTACGAATGTTTCGGTGAATCATGTAATTTAGGGTTTAATTGATGTCAATGATTATGATAGTAGTAAAAATAATAGTATTAGTAATAATAATAATGATAA